ATACGAGTCAATCACTATCTGGTTTACCGTGGGGCGGCATCTCGATGAAGCACATTGTTGAGAAGGGAAAGAGTAAAGAACAAAGCTCTCAGCGGAATTCTCGCGAGAGTTCTATACATGAAGGTGCATCCTATACCGGAGGAACTCACCCATGACACACATGCAAAGCAGGATATGGGATGCATATTTGGTTCAGGCAACTATTAATGCATGTTTATTGACAATTCGTACTATGCTATCGTGTTTTCTTACTGCCCATGGACAGGTTTTCCTAATATCATACATTCCTATCCTGCAAAAAGACATCCCTCATAAAATCTTGCGACGGCTTTGTCACCGTTCATCATGATTCCACAAACATCAGGCAATTGTGCTGAATCGTTTTCTGTTTTTCGCCATCTGTTTGGCAGCACGTTCGAGCTCACCCCGAAGGTTTGTCTTCGTGTTCTCCATTCCTTCGAATACTTGCGTATGGTCGGTATCGTGTCGCTGAATCAGGGTGTTGAGTAGATGGTCGCCATCCTTTGCGTACATCTCCGCAATATCAGTCACACTAGTCTCGTTGTTGACAATATGCCGCATAACCCGCTTCGAGGTGCGTATTAGCACTTGGTTGAGATTGCGCTGATGTGGCTGCAGGCTCGCTTCCCATTGTATCTCGTCAGCTTCCGAAGATGGTACAGGTGGGTCAGTCAAGGGTTCAGGCGCAGCGGATGTCGAACTATGGCTACTAGAAGAGCCTGGACGTGGCGGTGAGGAGCAGAATTTGACGAGTGAGGTATTGAAGTCATTAACAACTTGCTGATAGCCTTCGCCATCACCGAAGAAAGTAATATCCTCAAGATTCACATCGTCTTCATCGGGTACCTCCTCAATAGGCATGTCGTCGACGAGTTGCTGAGTTCCTTCGATGGTGTGCTGTAGATACTCCGTGGCTTGTTGGGTCTCTTCGATCGAATTTTGCGAGGCACGGGTGGATCGCTGGCCAGCCATCCATGCTGGAGTCGTTTTGTGCAAACTTGGGTCTTCAGGAGGCTTGCTAGTGCCAGCGACTTTGAGAGGCGTGTGGTTCGAGATGCTCGTATCCGGGCCATCATCTGCATCCATTGATTCTTCTCCAGTCAGACGGCGTAGGAACGATGTAGCCATCTTGCCAACGGAACGCCGGCTGAACGGGTCACTTTTGGCGGTCTGCCAATCACCGGTCTTCTTCTCGGAGGCTACGTCGTTACAATCTGCATGGCCAGAAATCGCTGTCGATTCCGCATTTGGCGACGCAGGGGTAGGTTTGCTGTTGCTAGAGAGTATTGAGGTCTCAACAGAAACATCGAGCCACTCGTTGCTGTCTTCGGCGTCATCGGTTACAGGTGGTGAAGACGGCATATACCACAAAGTGTCATTGTCAAAACGCCTTCGTGCTTCCATAGGAGTTTTCGGCCGCGATACTGCTTTTATGGGCGTTCTGTTTGGCTTGGTAGGAGTCGAAGGTGTTTGGGCAACCCTCGTAGGGATTGTCGGCTTCTTGAATGGGAGATCAGAGAGATCGGCAGGCCTCTGGGCACCTATGAGTCCTCCAATTGAGGTGTGTTGTGACAATATGACGGGAGATGATGGCTTCAGTGGTCTCACAAGCGGATTTGTTTGATCCTGCTCTTTCGAACCGGTCGTGCTTAACTCTACATCATTACGATGCTTCTTCCTTGGTTCGTTTTCAGCTGTAGTGTCTGGTGCTACTTTACGTTTTGTATTCGTCTTCTTCTTTGTCCTTGTTTGAGTCGGTACGGAGTCTTCATTGTCGTCTGCTATATGTTTGGTATGTGGTATGCGTGCTTTTGATTTGCTCTTGACTATGTTCTTGCCTGGAACAACTTTTGTGCCCTGTAATCCCTTTCGCGGTGATGACATAATGATTGGAGTACCTGAAGCATCATTGTAAGCATTCTCTAAGGCTACGTCGAGATCCTCAGGTTGCGCGTCAGATTCCGCATTGAGTTTCTGAAAGATCTTCTCTTTTGCGGCCTGGGATATACGAGGTAATTTTCCTTTGCTGCGTGTTGTGCGTCTCGATATTGTTGATTGATGCTGTGGCTGGAGTTCGTGGAGCGCCTGTGGATCAGCTTGAGGAGTTTGTGTACGTGGTCGCAGAGAAGCCAAAACGCTACTTTTCTTAGTAGCGATGCGGTCTGTCCGACGCAGCTGGGAGCCACTTTGAAGCGACCTCCTGGTGTTCGAACTCCGGACAGAAGGTGAACTGGCATCAATAGGCATGTTGTGTGGCGTTTCCGAGTGGTGCATATGCACTTTCTTATAAGACTCGATGCGGCTCTTCCACTCCAACGCGTCTCCAGAATGTTTGAACATTAGCGACATCTCGGTCGCGATGCGTTGAGCGGAGTTCAGCCGGTAGCTCCATGGACTTGATTTGGTTGTCATGATGAGGTCCCACGGTTCATGCTCTGTATGTTGTTCCTGCGAGTTGTGCAATGCCGACGGCTCTGACCGTGTGCTCAAGATGTGCTCGATAGGTATCTCCACAAACTGACACTCTTTAAGGTATTCGTCAGGCGCAATGATGGTTAACAGTCCAGCCTCGATAAGAGCGATAGGGAAAACACTAGTTGACTCCCGCCATCTGAATTCATCCGAGGCAAATAGTGAGACTAAGTACACGATCGAGGGCTCAGCGGTAGGTCCCGTGAGTGCCAGGTCGCTCAGAGCGTCGAGAAAGGTTTGGAAGTCGTGCATCCAATTCGCACCGGCTTTGAGTGGAAAACTCGGCGCACTGTGTCTGACCTTCTCCGACAACCAGAAGCTGCTGTATTCGATGCCTTGCTCCAATGCCTGCCGTATGATAATTCCAGTGATGATCTTGGTCTGCTCTTGTTCTGTAATGCTCAGAATGACGGCACCCAGATTGTGAAGAAGCTGTGTCGACCCTTTAATGTGTGCAGCCACCATCGGCTTCTCCAGCATACCCGCGAGCGCGATGCCGATCCATCGCCGCCGTACAACGGACAATTCGGTATTGCAAAAAGCCTCAAGATAACCCTCTGCAACTGTGGGGAGATTCGATCCACTAAAATCGCGTGCAGAGACGAGTTTGTGCAGTTGCGAATTGGACGCGTCGTTGTCCGGCTGCTGGATAGCCGCTTCAAATAGAATCGAGGTCATTACAATGAGAAGTAGAAGATGACAAAGATTGGCCTCTCATGTCCCATGTTAACAGAATTAGGTGGGTGGTTGCTGTGAAAGATGACAAGAAAGTATACTATAGAAGGTGAGAGCGCGGTAGGGCTGGTGAGAAAGTCGCGTCCCACCGGCGTTTGACGTCACAGTTGCAGGCGCGCGCGAGTTTCGCGTGGCACGATTTGAAACCACGAACACCACCACCCAACCATCATCATTTATTCCTTTTCATCAAAAAGAGTTGCTGCAATCAAAGGACATCGTTAGGGGCAACTAAGGAGAGCACAGGAAACTAACCAGAGGCGCCCAACCTTTCGTCGCTGCTCACTACGGCTTTTTGAAGCTCTGCACTTGATCGATGCCTGCAGGCATAGGTCTAACCGCTACAACACCCATTGCGCCAATCGCGATCACCGTCGAGTTACTTGTGAGACCACAAAATGAAAAAAGTGATGGAGAGGCAACTAGAAGTGTCGGAGTGAAGCGATGGTACGAGTCGGAGAAACAGCTTCGTTCCAAGCGAACGCGCTATGGATGGGCAGGGACCGTAACGGAGAAGCAACGCCCTACCTGTCAACTAAAGACGACGACCAGCAACGTCCATGCAATGTCTTCGTTATCGCGTCTAATGGCGGTCTGGTCGATAAACCGGAAGACGGAGTCGAGTTTTTGCGGTACTTGCGTTCGTGGTGCGTGAACAACTGTGGGTTAGGTAGGTAGCCTACGCACCGGCGAGTGCGGGTGACCCCTTTCGCTGGACCACCGAAGGGAACAAGCTGCAGCCTGTCAACGTCAAATGCGCGCCCATCTATCATTCAAACAACCGAGCGATACCAAGTGGACGACAGCACACTCGACGTGCGAGTTCGATTTTGACAGGTCGTTCTGGACAGGCGTTCACCCAAATTTCCTCGCATTGGGGCGGGCCGCTAGCCTGTATCAGTAGAAGAAGATCCATACGGGTCAGACAAATGCAGGCCCAGGTGCCTGTCATACATGGAGCAATCAATCTGTTCGCCGTTGCTAACGACTTCCACTCTTCAACGCTCATGTACACATGCAGTCATCTTCCCCTCGCTTCACAACGCGTCACGCTATAGCTTCCGGTCGCTCGTCCTTGCTTTCCAAAGATATCGCCATAAGTACCTACGTACTAGCGGGTTCCAGCGACAAACACCGCCAGCGTTCGTCTGCGTGTACTAACGCCCGAGGGCCTGAGCGAAAATTGCTGGCTTACCCAAGCTCGGTTGTTCAATATCAACACACCCTTGCCCTTCAGGTAGCTAGCGTACACAGCATAACCCAGCTTGATACGCTCGACTTCCAGCTCGCCTGACAGCGTGGCCTATGTTGCAGTGTTGCTGAATCGCCCGTTTGCTGGTGGATTGGTATCAATTAACCTATTCCCAGCAAAGGCTTTGGCGTTCCTTCGAGATCACTCTGCAGTCTTAGTCTTAGTACATTGTGACTCTGTGAGTTCTGTTCTGTTAGGGATAATCTGTTACTGCGGATAAGACACTTAACGCGCATAGCTCTGCAGGTGTATAGTAAGTAAGTGCTTGTGCTAGTTCCTAAAGTGATGTCTCCACGTTCCTTAAGATATGATTCGGAATGGCCAAGACTATGGGGTTTGTTGCGCATGTGATGTTTGTATTCATTGCATTGACAGCTGTAGCTATTCTATTGTTTTATGGTCGAACTTTGCTTTTTGTTCACCTACAATGACCATTAACATATAGAAAGAGTTATTTGACAACCCGTGTTTAAGAGTTTCTTCAGTTTGATGTGTATGAGGCCTTGTAGTTACTTGTCATCTACCAAGGTGGTCTACCGCCGCAGGTGTCTCCAAAGTGCTGGCCCATTGTTTTGCCTTGGTTAGATACCTTGTCGTGTTGCGCAGACTTTAACACCAGGTATGCATCGTTGTTGATTCTAGCTCCGCAGAGCCCAGGTTGACGGCCACCGGTGATTCCCGTAAGCCTGTTCAAAGCATTGCCCCAGGCATCGCCAGACCATCTTCTACCTTGTCCTTCAGACGTCACCCACAGACATTGGCCCCAACAGCACACGCCTTTAAACTGGTAGACCTGGAGAACAATATTAGACACAGTTTTTGTTAATAGATGGAGTATACCTACGCCGAGACTACCTCCAAAATCTCCACCGTATTTATTGTTCCAGGTATTGCGTAGCATCCAGAGCGTGCTTCCTCCGACAACGGTACCACCAGGGTATGCATGACATTCATCGCGAAGCCAAAGGCCTCGAGCCTCAAGATTGGGAGACATGTCTTCCGAGGAAGGCATAGGTGAGGCACTTACGCCTGTGGAAGCGGCGAGCCCCACAGTGAAAAGCGTACCAACAGAAAGCTTCATGGCGAAATTTGATGAATAGCTACCTAGAAGGTGCAGAAGATTGATCGAATGTTCTCAAAGAGTAATTTGTGAGTCTTACCCCAGCTTTATACATTTCGTGTGTACGACTGTAGGCGACAGATGCCCCGAAGGCACGGATTTCGATATGAAGACCTTAGACAAACTCCTCTCTTTAACCATACTTGGTGAATACACAACACAGGCCGAGCCAGCCTAGATGCCTTGGTAGAGTTGGCAACGAGCGGGCCAAGCATGGTACCCAGGTACGCACATGCTATTAAGCGGAGACCGTACAGCTTCAGACCAGACCGACTGCCTTGTTGTTGTATGCTTCTTGGTTAAAGCGCTCTAAATCTCTACAAGCTACAGAATTTCTTTCTAGTCGTGTCGAATGCGGCGCTATAAAACTCAGAGGCCTAGTATATGATGCGTAGTAGTATCGACGCAGGCAGTAGCACTTCCCACCCCAAATACGCGCGCATGCAACGTGATCCAGGTGCTGCTTCTCCCCTGATGTAGTCTAGTGCGGCGCTAGGTACCTTCTGATTCCAGAGTTGGCGAGACCGCCGAATGGGAAGCAATAGTATCCTTACGAGCTTTTGCAAGTAGTTTTGTAATCAGCATACGAAGTGTCAGTGGCTCCAAAAAATTCTCGCTCGCACTTGTCTGATATTCAAGCTGCACCAGTGGTGATAGACATTTTTTTGTGGCAGGATTGGTCTTTCGTGTTCTGCAGATAAGCAAACGTTCGCGTCGTGTTTTGGTTCGTCAGATTGTCCCTCGTATAAATGACCACGCCGCAATTGTGCCTGAAGCTTATAGTGGGGCGGAGAACGGACAGCTGTCTTCAGTCTTGACAACATCATGGTTGATGATAAAAGTAACAGGTCTGGAAACGCCCGTGCGACCTCTCGTGCACCAGTTGTGCCAAACATCAGCTCGAAGCGATTGCATATCGTTATCGCTGGACTGTGGCTTTGTCTTTTCTTATCAGCTTTGGACACCACTATCGTAACGACCGCACTTATCAAGATTTCGAGCGACCTCGATTCCCTTGAGCAGGCAGCATGGCTCATCACAGCATATCTCTTAACCTATAACTGTAGGAGCCCTCTACTCCTGAAAGCTACGACTAATTGACGGTTCAGCATTCTTGATGATCACTGCTAAGTTGAGCGATATCTGGGGTCTCAGGACCCTCCTCTTACTTTGCGCATCGGTATTCCTGATATTTTCTATGGCTTGCGGAGGGGCGCAAACCATGACCCAGCTTATCGTCTTCCGCGCCTTCCAGGGCATCGGAGGATCCGGTCTTTATAGCTTGACATTCGTATCCATCATGAAGATGATTGTACCCGAGAAGATTGGCTTCTACTCTGGCATCGTAAGCTCAGTATTTGCTTTGGCAAATCTGCTAGGTCCTCTACTCGGTGGAATGATCGCTGATCGAACGACCTGGAGATGGATATTTTTCATCAAGTATGCGAAGTGCAAGCCATTTAGCTATTTGAGCTGACTCTCGTAGTGGTCCCGTAATCGGTATCGCAATGGTCATGCTGTTCTACTCGATGCCTGCATTCGATGACGGTAGAACGAATCTACAACGGATACGCCAACTGGATATCTATGGGGGCATCATGTCGGTTTGCTGGCCCATACCACTCATATTTGCCCTACAAGAAGCTGGTGTGTCGCATACCTGGGGCAGTGGTATTATCATTGGACCGTTGGTAGCTGGAGTTGCTCTCTTAGTGCTTTTTGGCTTGTATGAGTCGTGGATACAGTCCCGGACGCAGAAAGCTCCTATCTTCCCCATACAATTTCTTCGAAATGCGCCTATGGCGTTGACCTTATTGTAAGCCCAGAATCTGCCAGTCGAGCCTCGCTGACGTCAGAACAGAAGCCAGTTTCTTTTGGGTTTCGCCTTTTACGTCGTCTTCGTTCAGCTTCCCCAGCGCTTCCAGGGCGTGAACTTCACAAGCGCCGAGCGTGCTGGCATCCTCTTGCTTCCTGCTACCGTCGTAACCCCGATTGGCGCCATGGCATCTGGATTAGCAGTGAAGTCGGTGTCTGTCGAGATCGTTCTGGTCTGTTCAACGGCAATTGTATGTATTGGAATGGGGCTTCTTGGTAGTTTGCCGACGTATATCCACCTATGGCCAGGACTTTATGGCTACGAGGTTATCACTGGTCTTGCTTTGGGTCTTGCGAGCCCGCCATATTTTGTGCTTGTCGCTACCTCAATTCAAGAAAAGGACATTGCTGTCGGTACTGGTACTCTGAACATGGTGCGCACGCTCGGGGGTTGTGTCGCCGTCGCCATTTGCTCTGCAATACATCGCGAGCACTTGGACAAAGGACTTTCTGGTTTTCTGAGTCGCGAAGAACTCAGCGAAATGCAACGCTCGACCTCAATGGTTGCGCGGTTACCGGACGCTGTGAGAGACCGTGTTGGTGTAGTCTTTGGTGATAGCTGTAAGTGCCCGTTTCATACACGTGTATGTATTCATAAGATTCTGACTAGTTCGAACGTATCAGACAATAAACAGTTCCAAGTCATGATCGCCTTCACTGGGCTCAACGTGATCGTCGCAGTCATCTTGGCTACAGTGAGAAAGAGATCAGGCTTGTTTGGTCTTCCACCAAGGAGGGAAGAAGGCAATGAATTCATGGAGATTAACAACGGCCAGATCGAGGCCGCAACAAGCGGAGGGCCAGCTCAAGAGCCTAATGGAAAGCAGACCCCCGAAGTAGGCGACTAACTGCAGGCAGGTTGACAACGGCAGCGCACCTCGAAACAAGATTACGAATTTTACATGGCATACCTAGGTATCCACAATTTCGGTCACGAGGTCCTGTACAGATACAACGCATGTATATGGGTATGTTTGTGACACTGGAGCTCAAACACCCAGTGATTGCGGCATTGCTGCAATAGTGAACTCGGCAAGACACGAAGCGTGAACGAGAGTCGAATCCTGTTTCGACGCATCGCTGCGCAAATCTCTGAAGATGTGGTTGTTGCTCTCCCCCGAATGAACGACACATTTGTGGATATACATGGTTAAAAATCGCTTAAGCCCGCACGGTTATTGCTAGCAGATAAGCACTTGCTGGTGTCTAAGCAAGCAACGTCACAAGCGCAGGCTTGTGTGGAAGCTTAGCCGCTCCCCGCATCTCAACCCCCGCACACGTTGCAACGCCCTTCACGCTTGAGTGCTCGGCACGTAACGCCTCAATTCTCGGCATCGATGATGCTGCGCCATTAAGATATGAAAGACGTATTTATATCATCGTACAGTGAGGATGAGGCGAGTTCGAGTATTTAAGTGAACATTGCATCGCATCCGGACGTCTTCTGGAGAATGACTACTGGTAGCGTGGGGTATGAACAGTGGGTCTTGTGCGGCACGAGCCTCTTCATCCCAACAGCAGCTTGGTCCTGGTCTTTATGGACGAACTCAGAATCATAGAGAAGATGTCGAGCGTCTGGAGTAGACATGTACATTACCATACAACCGGATCTTCTCAAGAACAATGCTTCGCTGATACTTTTGAATCCCGACATGTCGCGGGAGCAGCTTTCATGGTTGTCAGGCAAGAGATCGGCAAACGCTAAGCAATGGATGGTGGGGATTGGATCCTGGAGGAAAGCATACCAGTCACTGCCGTCATCGGAATAGGATTATCATGACTGGACCGTGTGATAGGCGGTTCAATAGCCTCGGGATGATGATATCCCAGCCGCTTGTCCAGTGGTTTCACGGGCGGTGACGTTCTTAAGGGACAGCTCTTCGCTGATCGAGAGCTGGTTCTAGACAAGCAAGTTCCCAGTTCTATGGTTGAAACACTGACTTGTGTTTCTTCGGACCGCGACCTTTGGCATATTTGCCCGAACCTTCTTTGCGCTCTTGGAACTTACTAGCTAGAGTTGACAACGAGGCTTGTCAAGGCTTGGTATCTACCGGCCACTAGCTTGTAACATATTTACACTCGCCGACATGGCCTCAGCAGCAGAACGTCCAATCGACAGGTCGAGCGAGGAAGAGAAGACCATAGGCGAGAAGCATGTCGAAACGGCAAAACATGTTCATACGATCGAAAACCTGCCTGATCCTGACGCTGGTCTCAGCGAAGAAGAGCGCGCTGCTCACGTATGTTGTTTGCTTGCCCAAACCTAAACTCCACTTGATAAGTCAGCTAACACAATCGCAACAGGACAAAGCACTCCTCCGCAAACTTGACTTCCGCCTAATCCCATGGCTCTCATTCCTCTATCTGATTTCCTTCTTGGACCGCACAAATATTGGCAATGCCAAAGTCGACGGTCTGCAAGAAGACCTCAACATGACCAACGGCCAATACAACGCCAGTCTAACCATCTTCTTCGTCAGTTACTCCGTGTTCGAGCCGCTTACAAACGTGCTCTTGAAGAAGTTACGCCCTAGCATCTTCTTGCCATTGATTATGATCTGGTGGGGGATTTGCATGACATGCATGGGTCTCGTGCACAACTATGCCGGGTTGATGACAGCAGTGAGTAACTCTACAGTTGGTGGTGTGAGAGTTAGATTGGGTTGGCTGACGACATGTTTGTAGCGATGGTGGCTTGGTTGTGCCGAAGCAGGTGAGTTGCGACTGTACGAAATTCATGTGATACGCATACTAACCTTATGATTTCTCCTCTGCAGGACTCTTTCCTGGTGTAAATTACTATCTGAGTTGCTGGTGAGAAGTTTTCCTGTCCGAACTGCATGTGAGACATATACTAACTTCGATTCATCTCATAGGTACAAACGTTCAGAATTTGGAATCCGAGCTGCTATTTTCTTCTCGGCTGCAGCGCTTGCGGGTAGTTTTGGTGGACTGCTAGCAGCTGGAATCGCGCAAATGGGTGGCGTAGGAGGAAAGCCAGGCTGGGCATGGATCTTCGTAAGTGACCGATATATCCCTCTCTCCAAGGTGCCAATGTATTGTTAACAGCATCTCGCAGATCCTCGAAGGTCTCGCAACCATTTTTGTCGGAATAGCAAGTTACTGGATGGTTCATGACTTTCCTGCCGAAGCCACATTCTTGTCTCCTGACGACCGAGCTCGCGTCCTCCGCCGTCTGCGCGCTGATAAACAGGCCTCAGCTGCGCACGAAGATTTCCAAATGAAGTACTTCTGGCAATCGGTCAAAGACTGGAAAACACTCATGTTCAGCATCATCTACATGGGAGCGGACGGGTCTCTCTATGCCTTTAGTCTTTTCTTGCCCACTATCCTTGCCGGCATGGGTTATACGTCTACAACCGCGAATTTGCTTTCTGTGCCACCATATGCGGTTGCAGCTGTGGTCACGGTGTTGGTCGGTTATATTGCTGATCGCACGCAACAAAGAGGGTACTGCAACATGGGGGTTTCGCTCTTCGGTATCACAGGCTTCGCCATGCTTCTTGGTTCCGGAAATCCGAATGTGCAGTACGCCGGTACGTTCTTAGGAGCTATTGGCATCTATCGTAAGTTTTCTCCATCCAGCAAAAACAATGGCTTCTTGCATTCTGATAACCCTATCCAGCAACGATAGCGAACACAATTTCCTGGGCTGCCAACAATGTCGAAGGTGTATACAAGCGTGGTGTCACGCTTGGGTTTGTTATCGGCTGGGGTAACATCAACGGCGTCGTTTCATCGAATATCTATCGTAGCAGGGACAAACCACGCTACTTCCTGGGCCATGGCGTGGTGTTGGCGTATCTGACATTATGGCTGCTGGGCGGCAGTATCGTGACGCGGTTTCTGCTCGCATGGGAAAACAAGAAAAGGAGGCAAGGGGCGAGGGACGTCTGGATTGAGGGCAAGAGTGAGAAGGAGATTGAGGAGATGGGTGACAAGAGGCCGGATTTTCTGTATACTCTTTGAGGTATTGGGCGATGGGATCTGGGGAGAAGTGCAAAAATAGTATATTCGGCTGCTCGTGGTATCTGAGACGAAACCACAGCCTCCAAACAATCGATAGGAACGCATGTTCGCAAGCTTTTAGCTCCTACGCCCATAAAGTCGAATACATGTCGTAATAGTAACGCCGCCCAATGCAAGTCGTTTTTAGATATCTTCCCCACTTACGCGACAGTCAAGTACTCCAGCTTACGCACCAGTCTTTCGAGACTTGATGCTATTCGCCCGTTCCTTCCTCTCGTTGCGCCTGACCCTCTCTTTTCGCTCTTGCCGACTATCCGCCCTCGCATCGTGGGCCGTACCTGTCTTGGCTTCCTTCTTCTCGTCAACCTCGACCAGCCAGTCGTTCTCACCCTCCTTGTTCTTGCCCTTGTAACCCCATTTGGGTACCCACTCGCCAGAAGCCTCGTCGTATACAAGCTTGCCGTCGCGCTTCTTGTCCTTGATACCCTTCTTCGCAGCGAACTTCTCCCACTTGGTCTTCTCAGCAGCTGTAGGGATGGGCTTCTCGCGGGGTAGAGGTGTGGTTGGCGCAGGGAGGACAAGGTGCACGCCCTCTGAGTTTGACTTGATTTCGCAGGTAGAGAGAAGCTGGTTGATGAGGGCCTGTGCAGCATCGCGGGCCGTTGCAGTGAGAGTTGCTTCGTCGGCGCTGGCAGGGACGGGGTTTGGGTCGTTTGCGAGCAGGTTTCCCAGGTCAAAAGTAAAAGGCGTGGGCTTGTTCACGGCGATGGGGCTTTGTCAAGTCAGCAACGGCGAAGTAGGGGACAAAGCAAGCATGCGACGTACAGTCGGCTGGAGACGGTCGAGTCTGCGACGGAAGCTGCGCCGTTGGCGTGAACGTCCATGGCGCCTCCGTTGATTTCGTCGACGAGGTGAGAATGCGTGGGGGAAACAGCACCTAGCGCGACGCCGCCGTCCATTTCTGTGTCTGACATTTTTGAATAGTTTGGGTGGTTTTGGTAGAATTTCACTTTGCGCGCCTGCCAAAAGTTCAGAATAAATTTCGAGTCCGTGCACGAGCGGCGGACCTCCGAGGCTCTGACCATCACAGAATTCGTCTCTAGCATCTCCAATTCGCCCATTGCGGAGGGCCAGCGCCTCGATCAACCGTCATGCCGCCCTCAACATGTCTCCGCAGCCTCTCGCAACTGTCACTTGATGCCGGCGCCCACAGCTGCATCGCCCCGCGCCTGCTACGCCCACAGACAGCCTGCTTTTCCACATCGGCCGCCCGCTATGCTGTGGTACAGAAGAAGAAGGGCATGACCGCCGCCCCAAAGAAGGGTGTCAAGTCTCTGAACACCAAGAAGGGCAGGGGATCCGCAGCAGGCGATTCCGGCAAACGGCCAGCACAAGGAGAGCGGAAAGCCCAGCGCAAGCGCATTGTTCTGAGCAACGACAACGCACTAGAAGTGTCCTCGCTCCAGGACCTCAGCAAGGAAAATGTCCTCAACGAGCAGAATGAGGGCAAGGTCATGGGACTGCCACAGGAAAATGTAGTGGATGCGCTGAGAGCCGTCGAGGCGTTCAAGACGACCCAGGGATGGAGTCTATTTAGACGGCCGGCAGTGTTGATGAGGAAGGAGGCCATCGAACTCGCGAGACTGTTCAAAGAGGCGGAGAGCTCCAAGAAGACAATACGACGGATTCTGTCTGGACAAAGAATGAGTGGGAAGAGCACATTGGTACTCCAGGGTCTGACGATGGGCATTCTGCGGGACTGGTTTGTGATCAACCTCCCAGAAGGTACGTGTTGCCATGTCAAGCAAGCGGGACTGTACTGACAACTTTCAGCCCAGGACCTTGTCAACGCTCACACAGAGTATGCACCACTCCCGAACTCAGAACCAATGCAGTATACCCAAGACGCATACACTGCGAACCTTCTCCAGCAAATTCTCCAGTCGAACGGAGCATTCCTCGCGGCGACGAAACTTAGCACACAACCTGAGCTACCTCTCCCGCTTCCTGCAGGTGCTACCCTAAAAGAGCTGGCAGCGCTTGGAATGGCCAACCCCGAGGCATCATGGCCCGTCTTTGTTGCGCTATGGAATGAGCTGTCTCTACCCGGTCGTCCACCTATTCTTCTTGCAGTCGACAGTCTATCACACATCATGCGCCACTCTGAGTACATGTCTGCGGAAGTGAAGCCTATCCATGCCCACGACCTGACTCTTGTCCGCCATTTCGTCGATCACCTTTCAGGTCAAAGAAAATTACCCAACGGCGGCATGGTGCTCGGCGCAACATCGCGATCCAACGCACCCGCCTCCCCAGCGATGGACTACTGCATCGAAGCAGCTGAGGCCCGCCAAAAGGGTGCAGGCAAGCTACCACCATGGAACCCCTACAAGAACGTAGATGCACGCGTGATGGATGCTCTCAAGGGTCTCCACAACGACTCGAGTGAATTTGACATTATCAATGTCGGCGGGCTAACCAAGGAAGAGGCCCGGTCGATCATGGAGTACTATGCTGAAAGCGGCATGTTGCGACACCAAGTCAACGAGGGCTTCGTAACGGAGAAGTGGAGCTTGGCGGGTATGGGGAACATTGGCGAGCTGGAGAAGGCCAGTGTCCGCATGCGGTTGTAGGTGTACTATACTGTATCACGATATGTAAAGCACGTGTAGCAATGTCAAGCATCATCTGGTCTTGCTAATTGCAAAGGTACATCCAAGCCAACAGTCTTTCCCATCGCTCCTATCCATATCATCAGATACTCATCCGCTGTAACGTTTCTGTCAAGAGAGGCTTCCATCACGCCGGCCGTCTGACACGGATGGATGAAAAACACAGGTCTGTTGGTGGCCGGATGATCCTATGAAGATCAGTTCGATACCGCGCATGCAGTTGCTTGTCTCACAGTAATAGTGATGCCTCCAATGACACCAACATTCTCAGTCTGTGCCTTGAACTGCAGCGGGACCAGATGCTCGTACAAGGTAGTCATGGTTGGGGGATACCGGTGCTGGGGGTCACGAATGCTGATGTACAGCACAGGCACGCGATAGACTTGTGACAAAACAACATCGTAGTCTACAACCGGTTGGGGTACTACGGTGGTGTCGAGAGCTTCCTACCTGAATTGAGCTCTTGTCGGCAGATGTTGGGCACCCACCCACCTCGTCGTGCTCTACTACCTCATCCACTTCAGTAGCGTCTCGATCCTGCACAGCAGGTATACCTGCAGGGCGCGGCAGATGCGTGGTAATGTTGAGATATACGGTCCCATTTCGGTGGATCTTCTCCACGGATAGCCAGTCTTCCTGCGCGCTACCCTTAAGCTGGAAGCGTCGCTGCAGCCCATCGCAGGCGCGCTCAAAGTCTGCGTCGTCGAGATGAGGAAAAGCGGAGAGCATGCTTTTTCGCAATGTTTCGTCGAGACGATTCTTCGCGGAGTGCTCTGGACGAACAGCATGTCATAGCGAGTAAAATGTTGGGCGGTGGCCAGCTCCGGGCCACTCAAGCAGGGCCGCGGGCTCGCCACGCGCAAATCGGCAGGGGTCGAACGCGACTTCCCCGGCTCCAGGGCTTGGCTGCCTGGAACGTCGTCTAAACCTCGAGGCAGCTGAGCGGTCGTTCAATCTCAGTCGAGCTTAGCGGCCCAGAGTCTCCGCCCTTACTACTTGTTTCTATCATTCGCATCACTATGCTGCCTGCCTAGACACTGGCAATCCACGCGCCCGCATTGACCCGTCAACATCTCGACTCCACTGCTCTCCGTTGTTGTTCAAGATGCCGGCGCAGACTGAGAAAAGTCAGCTCAAGCGAAATCGCGTATGTCGCCCGTCGCCTGTCGCACGAGGCCATGCTGTGAATGAGGATGGGCGCTGACGCTTCAATTATTGTAGTATTCCCAGGGCGAGGAAGCTGAGCCCAAGAGAACTCGCCACTCGCGCCTGTCGCCGCCTCCTAATGGCCGTCTTAAGCAGGGACCGTTGCCTTCGCCCGTCACCCACAAAGAATCCACTGGAGACGCCTCGGAAGGCTACCAAGAAGGCACACAGAGCCCCCCACCCGGCAAGTCAAGTCAGGCAAAGGGCGGGCTTAGTTCGCCCCCATCCGACACCCAGCCCTTTTCGCAGTTCGTCTACCCACCCGAGAGCCGAACATACGCTGTAGAAGATGAGGAGGACGAAAAGGTCTGGGGCTACCTGGTGCCCATGGAAGGCCAGGCCGAGGATGTCCTTGTCTTGCGCAAGCGAGAGGCCTGTCCCGTGCCTTCCGCGCTCGTTGGCAAGACTGATGGCACAGAGCGCGTAAACAAGGAAGAGTACAAAGGTCAGGAGGAAAAATACGAGAATGAGAAGCAGGAGCGAGGTGTTCCGTCAGGTGGTTACCTTATCGGTCGTCATCGAGAGTGCGGTAAGTTGTGCTGCCATGATACCACTCTGATGAACGCTCCTCTGACGATGTCACAGATCGAGTTCTTAACTCACCGACCGTCTCGAATCGTCACTGTCTGTTTTTCATGGAGAAGAAGGGCGGCGATACTATTGCAGTGGTCGAAGACTTGTCTGGCAACGGCACATTTGTCAACGATACTTTCGTCGGACGGAACAAGCGACGCGAACTGCGCGAAGGCGATGAAATTGCCATCTTGGACCAAGCACGCTACGTCTTCAGGTACCCGTTGAAGCGCAACACCCACCGGTTCCGACAGCAATACACTATGCAAGAGCAATTAGGCAAAGGACATTTCGCTTCGGTATACCTTGCCGCAGAAAAGTCGTCAGGCGTACGGTATGCAGTGAAGAAGTTCGAGAAGCGCACTGGTCCTGGCGAGAAGTCAAAGGTCGAGGGTCTGCAGCAGGAAATTGCCGTGCTCATGAGTGTCAGCCACCCGGCGCTGCTCTGTCTCAAAGACACTTTCGATGAAGACGACGGTGTCTACCTCGTTCTGGAGTTGGCCACTGAGGGCGAGCTTTTCAACTGGATCGTTATGAAACAAAAATTGACCGAGGAGGAGGCGCGAAAGGTCTTCGTGCAACTGTTCCAAGCGCTTAAGTACCTGGTAAGTGTTCAGACATCTGTGTGGTTCCTTGCTAACGATTATCAGCATGAGCGCAACATCGTTCACAGAGACATCAAGCCTGAGAACATTCTGCTCACAGACAAGGAATTGTCTATCAAATTGGCTGATTTCGGTCTTGCCAAAATCATTGGCGAGGAATCGTTTACGACTACCCTATGTGGAACCCCATCATGTAAGTCGCCTTTTTACAATATACGATGGCATGCTAACGTTTCTCAGATGTTGCGCCTGAGATACTGGAAAACTCAAACCATCGACGTTACACCAGGGCTGTGGATGTCTGGTCATTAGGAGTTGTATTGTACATCTGCCTGTGCGGCTTTCCTCCATTCTCAGATGAGCTGTACAGTCCAGAGAACCCATATACTCTCTCACAGCAGATCAAGATGGGCCGTTTCGATTATCCATCGCCGTACTGGGACTCTGTCGGCGACCCTGCGCTGGATCTTATTGATCGTATGCTCACAGTCGATGTTGAGCAGCGAATAACGATTGATGAATGCCTGGAGCACCCGTGGACTACACAGGGCAGGATCAGCGTCAACGATAGCACAGACGGTCTTACAGGCGCCATCTCCAAGCTTGATTTCTCCAAACGCAAGGTGCAGCGAGAGCGTACCATGCTCAGCAGTATCAACGACATTAAGGTATCTCGCGTTATTAAAGGCACTGAAGGCCAAGACCCAGTCAAGGTGTATGAGAAGAACGGAGTTGAGAACGGCACAAAGATGAACGGCAAGACCCACGGCGTTGCAGAAGTAAGACCTGCCGATCAGCGCAATCCCGAGGAGTTTGTCGAGATGGGCGGCAAAGGCGATCAGACGCTGTATTCAGAAGAGGATGACGGTTCCCGCTATGCGACGGACCAGAGCCTTGCATCTGCACAGAGCAAAGGAAAGATCAACTAGGGCAGCATTGGAAGATGGTGTGATATTTCATTCAAGCGGAGCGTCTGGCGTCTTGCGGAGTTTAGTTGTTATGATCAACAGGAGTTCTATAGCAGTACAGGCGGACGTGTAAAATAGTGGGTTAACGGCAAGCACACGTTTTGCGGTCTGGGTCTTTCCACCGAGCATAGCGTAGTAAAGAGTAAATTCTGCACCATGACGATATCTGCTTTGGGTCCTGGATGAGGTGATGTACCCTCGAGCCAATGACACGAAACAGTGTACGATGACAGCAATCTGCTTCGCATGGTCTGTCAGTGGTGCCACCAGCCATTCTCTCCTTGTCAGGTCGGTGGCGCTAGTATCCGCATGCCGGTCCCTGCCAAGACGTCGACACCGACAGTCCAGTCGGATACCGCCCTGTACGGCAGAGGCGACGACTCATTTGTATGATTGGATACCCTGGTCCATGCGCGCCCTCGACTTCTGGGAAATTTATTGAGGCGCGTTCCCCGTCAACATTGTCCTTCAACCACGCTTTCACTTCTGTCGTTGCTTCTTGTTGCCCACCATGGGTTTTCTCGCCAACGTCGCCGGCCCCCTTGGCAACTTTACCTCCAACTCGTCCACGCCCGTCATCGTCGCCGCCGGCTTCGCCTCCTTTATCCTGATCGCCGTCGTCCTCAATGTGTTGAAGCAGCTGCTGCTCAAGAACCCCAATGAGCCGCCTCTCGTCTTCCACTGGCTGCCTGTCATCGGCAACACCGTCACATATGGCATGGACCCGTATGCGTTCTTCTTCGCCAACCAGAAGAAGGTGTGTAGGACGTGCAATGGCCGAATCGAACACAACTGACTGGAAGTAGTATGGCAACGTCTTCACCTTCATTCTCCTCGGTCGCAAGATGACGGTGTGCCTGGACACCACTGGCAACAACTTCATCCTCAACGGAAAGATCAAGGATGTCAATGCCGAGGAGATCTACTCCCCACTCTGCACACCGGTCTTTGGCAAGGATGTCGTCTACGACTGCCCCAACTCGAAGCTCATGGAGCAGAAGAAGGTACGCATGTCCTTGTCTTCCGACCGCGTCAACGCTAACGCAAAGACAGTTTGTCAAGTATGGTCTCACCCAAGAGGCTCTCCGCTCCTACGTCACTCTCATCACACAAGAATGCGAAGACTTCATGAAGCGCCACGAGACTTTCAAGGGGCAAAAGGGCACTTTCAACGTCCCCAAGGTCATGGCCGAGCTCACCATCTACACCGCCTCTCGTTCGCTCCAGGGTGAGGAGATCCGCAAGTCGTTCGATTCCAAATTCGCTGAGCTGTACCACGACCTCGACATGGGCTTCTCACCCATCAACTTCATGCTGTCGTGGGCCCCGCTTCCCCACAACCGCGCACGCGACAACGCACGAGAGACGATGATCAAGCTATACTCTGAAGTCGTTCGCAAGAGGAGATCGGGTGCGGCCAAGAAGGACTCACACGACATGATCTGGCACCTGATGGACTGCAAGTATAAGGACGGCACACCAGTTCCTGAGCATGAGATTGCCGGAATTATGATTGCGCTGCTCATGGCTGGTCAACACTCGTCATCCTCGACCATCTCCTGGATTCTGCTACGCTTGGCACAAAACTCACACCTGGTAGAAGAACTCCTTGCTGAGCAAAAGTCTATTCTTGGTGAAGACCTTCCACCTCTGACCTACGAAGACCTTCAGAAGCTACCCCTCCACGCTCAGGTCGTCAAGGAAACCCTTCGTATTCACGCTCCGATCCACTCCATTATGCGCAAGGTCAAGCAACCCCTCGTTGTCGATGGAACCAACTACGTCGTACCCACCACCCACACTCTCATGTCTTCGCCTGGTTTCTCCGCTCAGCTCGACACCCACTTTGTCAACCCCGCTGTTTGGGACCCACACCGATGGGACCCCGAGCACCAACAGTATGACGAGGAGCGCGACGATGCCGACCAAGAAAAAATCGACTATGGTTGGGGCGTTGTTTCCAAGGGAACAAACTCTCCCTACCTGCCTTTTGGCGCTGGAAGGCATCGTTGCATTGGTGAGCAGTTTGCTTACCTTCAACTGCAAACCATCCTCGTAGCATTCGTGCGCGAGTTCAAGCTGAGGAATGTAGGTGGCAGCAAGGACATTGTTGGCACCGACTACTCGAGTTTGTTCTCCAGGCCATTGGCTCCTGGTATTGTGGAGTGGGAGAGGAGACAGTAGAAGCTGTAATGACTTCTCTTCTTTCCACTTTTTACGACGCATTTCGGGTCTTAATGATGGGCGGATGTAGTTATTGGGGCTTTTTAGGGATGAGATTTTGGTTCTGTTCATGTGAACATAGACTTTGGGATTAGTATCTTAGTTAATACCTTAGGGCATGTGAGGATAAGATGTAATGAAGACAACATAATAGTTTCGTGTGCGCTTAAACACGTAATATGTTATTCGAGTTGAATGCCGAGTAAGGCCGGATTAGTTCCATGTTGGTATAGCCGAGGAGATGTCGAAACCTTGCGGTTGGTCTAGCGGAACCTGGGGCACATGCATCATCATTCGCCCATTACCTTCATACGTATATTGTCAGTCTCGCTATAAAGCATCGATTCCCGCAATTGCCTTTTCGTACCGACCAATCCATTGCATCGTTTACGTGAGCGATTGAACAGACAAGCGAGGAGCTGTGAGTTTGGGATTCTGCTAAGGTTACTGGAAGTCGCAATTCTGTGCAGTGTAACACGAAGTATATATAAACACTTATTTGGTCAAGTTCCGTCAAAGGAAGAACAGAAGAACAAGAAGAGATGGACGATATTCAGAGACTAGCTGGAGATTACCCATGGGTTCAAACGCCGCTGGTGGTGAGTGCACCAATGCGACTGATCGCTCTAGCGGACATGGCTGTTGAAGTGTCGAAAGCCGGTAAGTCATGGGAGAAAAGAGCTAAATCTGTATCGCCTTTCAATCCACGTAACTAATTCGTTGACTTACTAACGAATTCGCACAGGCGGAATTGGGTTCATAGGCGCAGGAACAGATGTCTCAGACCTAGAATCCCACGTCCGCCACGCACAGGAACTACTCAAAAGCACCACGTTACAAACACGGAATGGCACCTTACCAATCGGTATCGGATTTATCAACTGGGGAGCGAACCTCGAGATGGCTATCCCCATTATCGCCCGACACCGACCTGCAGCAGTTTGGTTCTTCGCTCCTTCCTCCATAATCTCACTCATGCAGTGGACAGAAAAGAGTAGAACCGCTTCCCCAGAAACGAAGATCTGGGTCCAAGTAGGCAGTGTGACAGAAGCTGTCGAAGTAGTCAAACAAGTGCAACCAGACGTCCTCGTTGTGCAAGGAACAGATGCAGGAGGCCATGGCTTAGTAAAAGGGGCAAGTATCGTAACGCTGTTACCAGAAGTCAAGGACACATTGGAAGAATATTTCCAGAAAATTCAAACCCAGCCAAAACCCATCCTTATAGCCGCAGGAGGAATTTCCGACTCCCGCACCTTCGCCGCCGCCCTGACCCTCGGCGCCTCAGGTTGCATCTTAGGAACGCGTCTACTTGCCACGCCTGAAGCCAACATAACCCAGGGCTATCGCTCCGCCGTCCTACGCACCACCGACGGCGGCCAAAGCACTGTTCGCACCAAAGTTTACGACTCGCTACGTGGCACAAATTGGGCTGAGACACACAATGCGCGCGGGATCATTACGCAGAGCTATGTGGATGCAGTGGAGAAGGGGATGAGTCAAGAGGAGAATACAAGGCTGTACAAAGAGGAGATGGAAAGGGGGGATGAGGGGTGGAGGCAGGATGGAGGGAGAATGACGGCGTATGCTGGGAGTGGGGTGGGGTTGGTTCGGAAGGTCATGCCAGCTGGTGATGTGATTAGAGAGGTTAGAGATGGGGTTGTGGGCGTGTTGGAGAGGGTGGAGAGGAGGGCGAGGATATAGTGTGAACTCGCAAGATGGAGATGTGATTCATCCAAATATCAGAGATGTACATATAAATACATGTATGTTTTGTCGTTCGTTTCTCTTCAAGAACAATTGGAAACACGGCGTAGGTCGAGATGCGAAGGTGCGAAGCTAGGGTCGTCGCTCGGATATTTTGACACTTGTGAAAAGCAGAGGAGTACGTAAGCAGTACTCACTCGTGCGCCTCCAGACCCTACCGCCCATATAATCCTGAAGTCAAAGTTCATCCCTGATTCACACTATGCTTCTCCCTACAACTCATGCAATCTTACGTCAGACGAGCTTCTGATTCGATGCTTGGAGTCTTGTTTCCGATTAACAAGATACCCAGGTCCTTCCTACAAAGCCTTGGTTGCGCGGTACCTTCCCGTCTTGAGGTTGAAGGCACGCTGGTCCTTCAACCACCGCCTGTATCCAGCAACGCTACCAATCTTCTCGCCGTAGTAATCCGGTGGTGGGTTGGCCAGCGAGGACGCGGTAGGATCGACGCGGTGGCGCTTGATGCGGTTGAAGAAGGCGGAATCTTTCTAGACAGGAGATGAGTATTCGATCTCCAACTCTTGCCACAAAAAAAAACATTTCAACTTACCCGTGTAAATTCGCCAAGTACACCCCTGTAAGCCAGATTGAAGACTTGGTTACCGAAGATAGGCCCAATAAGCCATCCCACGGCCATCATGCCCAAGGTACTCAGTCCCATAAGCATGAAAGGGTCAAACCCACCGAGTTGGGCGGAGAGGGTGGCATCGTAGCCATTGTTGATCATGGTGGTGAGACCAAAGTATGTCACGCCTACTGCGCCGACTCCAGAGCAAGCCTGGCCGATTCTCCGGCGCGTGCGGCGTAGGGCGAAGAAGGCGTTCCATGTAAGTTGGGGTTGTGCGCCGGGCGAGTTGTTGGCGACGGGCTGTGCGGGGGCAGTTGATGCGTGTCGTGCTATCGGCCTGCTGGGGAATGTGATGCGTGAGGTGAGAATCCGGCTGCTGCGCTGTTGTTGTTGTTGTTGCCGGAGCCTGCTTGGTCGTGTGCATGTAGAGAAGGAAGTCGCGGCGGCAGTTGACGAGGGAGCGAGGATAGCAGGCGGGAAGCGGCTGGCAAAGGCCCTCGCTGGGCACAGTGCACTTCGTGTGAGCATCTTGGATGTGTCTCGGACGACGGTGGGGCTGCGTCGCTGAGGTCGCTGAGGTGTTTGCCAACCTTCCCGTTGGATGTCAGTAGCTGCAGATTGCGCGCCTTGGCGATTGCGGAGAAGCGTTGTGCACTCTAGTCGCCGATGGCAATGACGCTGCTGATTGAGTATTGCGAGGATGCCAATAACTAGTCAAGCTCACAATTCGGAGGATTTCGCGTCTGCGCTTAACGTTGGCGAGACGTCATTTCTTCTTCTTGCTCGGATGCTGCTGACTCATCCGTTCCGCCGTCTTCTCCATAGAAACCTTGCGAGCGGCGCACAACCCATGTCTTGGAGAACTTGACTCAGACTTTGTACGTGCTGTTATCGCCTACTGTCGTAACGAGGAAAAAACCATAATGCTGCAGTTTCCCTATCGACTGTGTCTCGGCGACCGCCAATTGTCGAACCTGCACTCGGGCTTGTGCTTGGCGCGTCCGTGGTGCAGAAGCTTTCTTGTGAACTTGGCGTAAACTCCGAATCCAAGGATATCACATATCTGCAAGACAATCAGGCTATCGTCGTGGATGTGCACCTCAAGTCTCGGTCTTCGGGTATGGACCATCAGCATGTCTCTGTCCAATGGCCAAACCACGCATGCTGCGTGGGATTCTTGGAAGGTATATCAAGAGGAAGGCACTACGATTGAGCTGCTCGTGGAGAAAGCAACATCGTTCTAGCCCTGCCGTTGTTCTATACCAACCTATCATCAACTGCCTTCAATCAATTATTGCTTATGCCGTCGGTCCGCCCCCGACCAACCTCCCTCATCATACCTCCCACATCAACAACTCTATGGCGCGCCCCCCGTCCACCTACGCCGCGACGTGCGACCTACCCGTCGATGTATACGTCGGTCAAGTTCGATCATGAAGCTCCCCCAGTGCCAGCCTTATCCTACTGGGACCCCGATACACCGTCACCATTCGCATCTATCCGCTCACGAGACTCGTCAGACTCACCAATGAATCCGTATCTCGCTCCACCACCAGAGTCCTCAACCAACCACCTGTACTTATTCCCTAGGGCGACACCCCTTCTTCCTGCGTCCCCACTATCCATGTTTGATAGTCCGCTTTCACCAAGGGCACTGACATTTCTCCGTACGCCTACGCCCACACCAACCAGAACGACGTTCCTGTTACCAGCCTCGCCTCTTCCAGTAACCTCTCCATTCCTGACCCCGAGCTTTCTGTTCCCACGGACGCCGCCCCCTTTTCCGGAACGAAAGAGGAAGGTGTCCGTGTACGATGTTGTCAGGGATATCGCGGAAAGGAAGGGTAGCGTTGGTAGTATGGTGAGAATACGGGAGATGATGAGGTTGGAGTTCTACCAATCGCTGTTCCTCAAGAGACAGAAGGAGATGGATGACCGTTCATATGGCAAAAAGAAAGGAGAGGGAGATCGATGGAAGACAAAAGGCATCTGGGGACGGCTGGTTGGCGGGAGAGACAGCCGGTTAGCCATGGAGGAGAAGGAAATAGTACTATTTGGAGGCCGCATGAGGATACCTGGGCTTCAAGGCATAGTCTTTCGAGACTCGTCTTTGCCAAAAAGGTAGCCGTGTTGTGTAAAGCGTTTTCTAAGCTGTATGGATTTCCAGAAAATAGCGTGCCATGTTCAAGGGCCTCGCGGTAGTTACTGAGCTCTAATTCAGTATGGATTTCAAAGTAGAGTGAAAACTTCCAGAGTTCGAGTGACGTATACGTCAAGTGATCATTGGCGCACATGTAGGGAACTATGATAGATAGTGGCAACATGATGTCATCGTGCTAGCGAAGAGTGTGTGTTGGATCCGCGGCACACTCGGAAGTTGATCGACGTAAGAATCTCAAAAGATGTCACATTTCTTCGATGCGCAATCCAGTCTAGAGGAGAAATCTTGAGGGATAGAATCGCGATACTTTTAGTGTGTAAATGACATACAAACTCGTCATCCCGTTGAACGAGTTTGTGGTTGGTGACTGTAAGGGAAACTCGATAAGCTACTGGCCCCGAGTCATTAGTATGAAGAACCATCTTCGCGATTGCTGAGCATTGTTGAACACGTTCATTGCGACGAAATCGGTTTCCGCAAGATTCAGGGTCCATGGTGATAAAGGCGTGTACATGCGCATACAGGCCTGGACTCTCGGCGGTATTGTTTGGGAAAACCGCCAACTCGGTGCGAGCGGCATGTCGTACTGGGGGCCACGGCCGCTTATGCGGCGAGAAAGTCGGTCAGAAATTCTAGCGCAAGGCACACTGTGGTCAGAACGCAGCAAGCTGGTTTTCACTGCGACTACGGGTTATACCGTTGTGACATTTACCGCCGGTGACGAATTACCAGGGGAGGAATGTCACTCTCCGTGGCCGTGGTTAGGAACGAGGTTATCTGGAATCCAGGTCCAAGTGGATGCCGGTGGATGACAGTGGATCCTAGGGGGGGGTCCCAGACGCGGATCGAAGCACCCCAACATACGACGCTCAGACAGATGTTTATCAGTGGAGCAGCGCTAACAGCAGACAAGCGAACGTTGGCAATTCGAATTTGACAATATTGAGATAAAGGATTCTGGTGGACCCTTCGTCCTGCCGGCCTGTATACAGTCGCCAGGCTGACGGATCATGGTGTTGTGACAGACCTGTCGACTGGTCCGATGTGGGACGTTCCAAGACATTCAAGACATTCCAAGCAAAATTGGCAAGATATGAGCTAAGGCCATTGGGGAAGCAAGCGAGCGGGGGACTCGTAATTGGCTGCGATTCCTGGGGCAAAAATTGTGGTTTTTCTCGGGCATCAGCACGGTGGATCTGGGAGCCGTTGGATGGTACGTTCGCAACCAAGTGCCAAACAGGCGCGACGTCGCACCTCTTAAGCAAAGGATTCAGCAGGCTCGTCCCCCACGCGTTGATAACGTTGTTCTCGAAGGGGGCTGGTGGAGCGCAAAAGGGCCTAATCATCGAGGCAACTGAAACGAACGAGGGATTGTCGTGCTAGGATGCGCACTTAGATGGGCAATGTAACGCAATGCTGCCGTACTCATTACGCCCCATGACACAGCTCACGCCGCAATCACGAGCGCTTGGCCATGCCTATTCGCGGTATTCGCGATGGCAGGATGGCAGCGCCTCGCAGCGCCACCGATGGAGTGGTTGACAAACAGTATTGTTGGAGAGGCATCGCGTCGCGGGCTAGCCGAAGCGGAGATGACGGAAGCGGAGGGGCTAGGCCCGGACAGGCAGGTACACATGGACGTGGGGCACGTGAGGGGCTTCTCCAGACTGCACCAAGTAAGCGCGGCCATCCGACTGCAGATAAGACGGTCGCGCTTCACCAACCTCGATTCGCCAATAGAGGCAGCTGGCAAGGAAAGCGGCGTTGGATCCGAAGAAAACCGCGGTCGCCAAGGGAGCCCAGCGCTGCAATCAGCGTTCTAGAAATTGTGCTAGAACGTTGCTAAACTCGTACCTCGCCTTCACTCGCACACTTGTTATCAGTCCTCTTTGGGCCCAATCTCCGCCCAGCGACCCGGTCTGACCAAACGACACCAAGGGCCCCCTCGAAGCTCGCGCCAAGCCCCATACGCCACCGGTCGATTTGCTGTAGCGGGGAGGTCCCAAGCTACTCCCAAGACCCACCGCGGGGCGCCAATTCACCGACCCTGTTAGCACTATCCGCTTGCGGCCAACGCTTGTCCTGGTCGTGTGCAACCAGCCAACCAAACACGACGCCAGCCTATCAGTCGTCCGCCTGGCCCTTCACTGTAATGGAGGGATGCCAAGAGCGATGCCAAGCTCCCGGCTCGTGCGCCTTGTGCATCAATCGACGAGGGTCCCTGTCGCCTGTTCCGTGAGGACCATCTCCAACCTGGACTGGATAAATGTCAATTGCCTCCCCCTCCCGCTGATCCATATCTCCATAAGAGCAGCCGCTCCCAGGGTCTCTCTCGTCTTCACCAGTCTTTCCCATCCCCAGCACTGACCTGTCCTACCGCCCATCATGGACCACGAGAAGGCTCTCCCCCCTGATGAGAAGACCAGCGTCCCTCACCCGACCATTGAGAGTCAGAGCGAAGATGTTGCTGACTGGCGTGAGGGTGAGGACTTCATGACCCGCAACGGTCTGAACATGAAGTCCTTCCAGCGTCGTCCCCACGAGGGCGGTTTGATTGAGCTCGACAAGTCCATGAAGACGCGCCATCTTCACATGATCGCCATCGGTGGTTCTATCGGTGCTGGTTTCTTCGTTGGTTCCGGTGGTGCTCTGTCCAAAGGTGTAAGTTGTACATGTTTCCAATATCTTTGAATATCAACTGACAGCTTCTACAGGGTCCTGCCTCAGTCCTGATTGATTTCTCAATCATGGGTGTCATGATCTTCAACGTCGGTAAGTAAACGCTTCACGTCTCTGTATATTCAAACAGAACTGACTCTTCGTAGTTTACGCTCTTGGTGAACTCGCTGTTATGTACCCTGTCTCCGGTGGTTTCTACACCTACTCCACTCGCTTCATTGATCCTTCCTGGGGTTTCGCCATGGGCTGGAACTACGTCTTTCAATGGGCTATTGTCTTACCTCTTGAGCTTCTCGTCGCCGGTCTAACAATCCATTATTGGGAGGGCGCTAAAGAAACAAACGTTGCAGTCTTCATTACGATATTCTGGGTCTTCATTGTGTTAATCAACATCTGGGGCACCCTGGGATATGCCGAAGAAGAATTCTGGTCGTCTTGTATCAAGCTGGGTGCCACCGTCGTCTTCATGATCATTGCCTTGGTCTTGGTCCTCGGAGGAGGTCCCAGCAATGGTATGTACTCTGAATACTGGGGAGCTCGTAATTGGTACAACCCGGGCGCTTTCAACAACGGCTTCAAGGGTTTCTGTACTGTCTTCGTCACCGCCGCTTTCTCCTTCTCGGGTACCGAACTTGTTGGTCTCGCTGCCGCTGAGACTAAGAACCCTCTGAAGTCCCTTCCTGGTGCTATTCGTCAGGTCTTCTGGCGAATCACCTTGTTCTACATCCTCGGTCTCACCTTTGTCGGACTTCTTGTTCCCTCCGACGACAAGCGTCTGATGGGCTCCTCTTCCGACGCCAACACGTCGCCCTTCGTCATTGCTGGCAAGAACGCTGGATTGATTGGATTTGACAGTTTCATGAACGTTGTCATTCTCATCTCCGTTATCTCCATCGGTGTCTCTGGTGTATACGGTGGTTCTCGAACCCTCACTGCCCTCGCCAACCAGGGTTACGCTCCCAAGTGCTTCACCTACATCGACCGGGCCGGACGCCCTCTGTACTCTGTTGCCTTCATTCTCATGTGGGGTCCTCTTGCCTACATGAACTTGGCCTCTACTGGTGAGACCGTCTTCAACTGGTTCGTTGCTCTGTCCGGTCTTGCTGCTCTCTTCACTTGGGGCTCCATCTGCCTCGCTCATATCCGCTTCCGCAAGGCTTGGGCTTATCACGGGCACACCTTGGATGAGATCCCATTCAAGGCTGCTGGTGGTGTTGTTGGCTCCTGGATTGGCATTGGCATCATTATCGTTGTCCTCATTGCTCAGGTAAGATTCTTTCTCTTGAACGTTCATGTAAACAATTATGCTAACAATGGGTTTAGTTCTACACTGCCGTGTCGCCCATTGGCAAGAGGCTTGGTACCGCGACCGATTTCTTTTCAGCTTACCTCGCTGTCTTCGTCGTTGCTGCTTTCTGGATTGCTGGATACTTCTGGAAGCGTGAGGGATGGCTCCGCACCGCTCAGATGGACGTTGACACTGGCCGTCGTGAACTCGACTGGGACCTTATTAACAGGGAGCGCGCCGAGATCGCCACCTGGCCTGCGTGGAAGCGTTTCTTCAACCGCATCTTCTAAGCATATATTCCTATATGTTTAGTACGTGGTTTGTTGCACTTACCAAATGTTTTCGAGTTGGTCATCAATTGATGATGTTATTCATCGTAGATTGATACTTAATGTTCGCCTTCTAGAAAGGTGACCTTGAATGTTCATATACCCCTTCCTTCAATACTTCTCTTGTCCTTCTATCTTTGGTGATTATGTGACCTTCGCATTGTTTTGACCGATGGGTTTTCTCTATGCCATTCTAGTTTCTTACTATGCCTGGATTAATCAACCACGGAGCCCATAAGAAACAGGAATAAATTCTCTCTACTATAGAGATACGGACTCAAACACGACACCCCAGGCTTTTCACTAGTCATTGCAGTAAGTACATGCGTAAGCGAGCTCTAGAACACATCTTAACTTCCGACTTCCTTGCCTCTTCCTTCACTCTATTTAACCGAGCAAAGAAATTGCTTTCGTACATGCCAATTTTCCCATGAAGATATCCATATTATCCACCCGATTCCAAATTTGTTTCGCATAAGCATCTTTTCTTAGCATGTCTAGGTTCTCCTTTACGTCGGGCACTATCTAGCCAGCGTAAGATATGGCGAGGCAGGCGTCAACCACGTGCACCAAGATATGGAAACTTGTACCATAGCAGAACGTAATGTCATTGCAGTTCAAAGCATCGAGGTTCATTGGTGGTTAAATAACACTCTCTCTTGTTGTCTTCTCGCAGCGTTTTGACAAAAGCCCGCAGAATGGGTAACTTCCCGGAACCCATAGATCCCGTGTAGAAAACATTGTGGCCAGCTACAATAAGACTGACGACCTGTTGTTGCTCTTTGCTCAAAGCAGGCTTCAGACTGGACGCGTGGATTGAGAGGTCCTGCTGGTTGCGTGTACGTTTTGATTTCTGGTCCCAGGCTCGAATCTAGCTCAATTAGGGCGTGTTGCGATCCATGCTGCTCAACCTTGTTCGCCATGCGACTGCCCGGAAGCGAAGTTTGTGAGATGGATGCACATCATTCGGGCGTGTTGTGCTTGAACTTCGTGGAGACCCTGGGAAAGATACGAACTCGCCTGACTTTCCACTGAGAATCGCATAGGACGCGATGCGTTGAGTAGGAAGCAGAATCGACGCTATCTGGGTGAGATTCTTCGCGAAATTCGTATGTCATAGGTTGATTGCAAAACGTTGCTCGTGATGTTGCGGTTTACATTGAGAGTCATTCCGCACGATGTAAATATGGTGATGGGTTCAATGAAGCCCACAATCTCTCTTAGCAAAGTACGTTGTACGGTGACATTCATTGGAGTAAATCAAGATTTAAGTCGTTACTATTCAAATAATGTGAGACAGTCACAAAGGCTGCGCTAGAATGCTTGACCGCGCACAAAATATCCATCATAGTCTGCGTGCTTCCAGAGTGCATTCTCCGCCTGGCGTACTGCTAGGCTTCGGATCTAAAATCTTTCCATTCGCCTTCTACTTGATGTTACGACACCCCTGATCAATGTCAGTCTTCTGTCATCCGGCGATAAAAGGATCAGTACCTTTGAGATCCAAAAATCGACTTCCTTCCCTGTTCTTTGTCTTCTTATTGATGACCTCTTTCGACCTGGGTTCGCTTCTGATGGACGGCAGAACAGATGGCATGAACGATGCAGTTGACGTCAAAATAGGTAGAACAGTCGGTATATTTGTAGTCTTAGTAGAAGCCTGCGCTAGGTCGTCTACCAGTTTGGGCTGATTCGTTAGTAATCTAACCGATGCTTCGTTTTTTCAGAGGCGGCTCACCCGACCTCTCGCGCATCTGGTACTGTTTGAGTTCTAAAGCCATGCGATTGTTTTCTTCATTGAGCTTCTGGTTCTTCTCTTTCTCGTTGCGAAGTTCGTCTAACGCTGTTTTGAACCACTTCTCTGATACCATCTTCGGCGGCACGGGCTTCGGCGGCACGGGCTTCGGTGCAGGTGTAGCGTCTGGCTTATCTTCCAACGCGTCTTTCAGACCTTGAATTAGAAAGTCGGTGGATACACCGCGCTCGAGTGCACCGTCGACACCTGATTTGAGATCGTCGAGTGGACCCTTGAATTTGCGCGGAAGACCTCTGTCAGCATCGAGACTGGAGAGACGGTGACGCAGAGTCTTTTCAAGCGCTTGTAACTCCTTGTAGTCCTTCTCTGGAGTGTTAGAGTCATTGGAACGCTTGTAGGTGCTGGACAGACAGCCATAGGTTGTGCGATAGGCTCGATAATCTGCCCTATCGATGGATACAGAAGGTAGGAGTTCTTCCATATCTACACAATGTCAGTTCTATATCGCCTGCGAGCTTGAGTTGTTACACGTACCCTCTATGATCTTGCCGAGCTGACCGTGACCGATTTGAGAAGCAGCCATTGTAGGATATCTAATGGTATTTGTGACCGTTGAGATACGTATAACGAGTAGGACCGCTGGTAGGTCAACTTGGCTTGAGAATCGTCACTGGTACGACTAGGAAGAGGAAGAATTATAAAAGGTGTAGAGGTGAGGGTGTTTGCGCTCTGGCAAAAGTGGGTCCTGCAAGCGGAACCGTAGGAAGGAAGGAAGGAACGCGAACCACAGCAAGTGCAAGCAGATATGTTCTGGTGCTAGCTAGCTTATTCTGCGTTGTTCGTCAACTGGTATCCATCAAGTCTGCTTATAGTCATTGGTAGATCAGAGCTTTGAAACGGTATGAGTGAAGATCCACGACGGACAATGTCGCTGAGTGATGGCTTGACTCTCACAACACTCTCAGCTTTAGTGACTGCCGTCCCGAGTAATGTCAATGACCATACCAAAAGAGGATAATGTGTTTGATGCAACATGACGTCGCTATGCTTCGGTGAATTGTCTAGTCTTCCAAATAACTTTGTCCGTTGCACATGCTGTCAGGCTTTTGCGCAATAGAAATGGTAAGTACAATCTTTGTCTTGTATCGATCGATCTCATCCCGAAGATCCTTGTGTGTCCAGAACCACTCTTCACCCCGATCCATGTTCATGAACCTGCTGTAGAGATCTTGATAGAAGTGGCGGCCGAGAAAAGCCATCATCTTGGTAGTGTCTAAGGTGTCCTGTGGCGAAGGGGGTGGTATCGTAGTACCAAAGGTATGTGATGCGGACGGTGCTACCTTTGCCACTGCTTTGGGTGGATGTGCAGGCAATGCGATACGAGCGCGACGAATGTTCTCGAGCCCAACTATCTCCATCGTGTCGAGAACGGTGTCAGACGCTTCCTTGCTCACACCATGAGCCTCTAGTTTGCAAGACATATGTTCATCAACCCATGAAGATAGCTTGGGTCCCTCGCAGCTCATGTGCGCGTCTACTGAAAGCATCTCGAGTTGTCCTCCTGGTTTGAGCACACGCATGTAGTCAAAGAATGATCGCGCCCAATCATCGTTTCGAAGAACGGTCGCGGCTGTGCGCGAGATAACGGCATCGAAATAGTTATCAGGGAAGGGCGCTGAAGACGCAAGGGAAGGGGTATATAATGAATGGTGGTTTAAAGGAGCAGGATACGTCGTAGCGGGGTGGCTTTTCGTGGAGGATAGTGTATATACTGTTACCGAAGGGTACCGGTTTGCGAGCATCCATCCGTCCGCTGCAATAGTTAGCATTAAAGCCTTCTCAGATCAGTTGGAGCATGAATTTGAACGCACCTAAGGAGCCATGTATTTGAAGAACTCTCCTCTGATCTGCTGGTCGACTATTGCTCAGTAATTCATGAGCGGGTGACTGTAGAGGTTTATTCTGTGTTAGGCGTTGGTAAGCGGTCAGTGCCCACAACCGCTTCTCGAACATGATCTCTTGGTAACTTTCGTCGTCGTCCAAACCATCCCATTCCTCACTCAAGCGTGCAGACATGATGCGAGTACCAGCACTCTCCATCTTGGCTAACGCACGGGTAAAGGGCGTTTGAGAGACCTTGAGGTTTTGATCACGTTCGTTACTCTGTCTGCTGCCGGTCCGCGAACCACGCTCGACCGGTTCAAAATAAGGCGTGTGAGAGACCGGTTGAGATCTGAACGGAGCTCTGGCAGAGCGCGGCTCATCGTAAGCATCTTCTGAGAGGGTAGTCTCGTAACCTGAAGCACCAGAGAAGACACTGTTATTGGAATGAGTAACGCTGGATTGGTTGGACGAGGCACGGGAAATCGTAGAGTACTGTGACTTCCTGTCTATACCACATGTAAGCATGCTACCTGTGCAATATCATTCTCGCTCCGTGCTCAACTGAGCTATTCAGAGCTTTGACAACTACTCCAACCGTGCCGTCTGTAGATTTGGATATTATACGTACCTGATATACTAACAGGGCTTAGCATTCCTGAAGACATATTCATGGAGACGGGTGTTGGTGGAAGCCCGATAGAAGGGGGAGGAGTTGGCAGCGGCGGCAGAAAATGATGTGGGCGGAGAGTTCGAGACGCCTGCTCAGAACGTTGTGACGGTGGTCTTCCGGGTGCTTGCTGCTGTGTCTCCAAGGGAGCCGTCGGTGGTGCTGGTCCTTGATCGAGTTCTAGTTCTAACTCTGGCTCAAGTGCTGGCTCCTTTTGACGTTGCGTCTCCTTGTGTGTTGACAGTGGCGCGATCTCCTGGATGCCCTTCTTACTGCTTTTGCTAAACCATCCGCCAAAGCCAGTCTTCCCTCCAGATCTTGAGTCTGATAGACTTGGGGCATCTTGGCGTTTGCTGCTGTGCGTGCTCCCTGAAGATTGCGAAGTTGCGGAGAACGACCTTCTGGAAGTGCCATCTTCCCTAGCCTTTCTTGCCTTGCGGGCGCCTATTGTCTCCGCGTGTTGAGGAGGGACATCAAAGGTTGGAAACATGTCGACGACTTCAATACAGAACTAATGTTGCCTCCAGGCGGGGGGATCTTCGCTCGATAATACCTCATCTTTCCCGCCATGTTGCAACACGTACCACACTTTAGGCCAGCTCGCACACGGGAACGACTCTCAATCTCGCCAACTGAGCCGGCTAGTGTGTCTAGTCGGATTATAGTAGCTCAGTGCTGGGTACCGTAAGTCAATTGTGGTTGGACGCCTGACAGACCAGGGACGCCCGGTTCCAGCCGACATAGCGCCGAGTTAAGCGGAATGTCCCCATCGATAACAGCGCAGATGATGATCGACGAAAGTGACCTTCCCAACCCACTCACTCGGAAAACAAACAACGAACCAGAGGGGCACCAGAAGAAAACAACACCGAGAGCTCCGCGCATTCTGCACATCACTGCAACACCATCACGCAAGAATGTCACTACCGATAACCTGCAACACGATACGCACGACCCACGAAGGCCTGTTAATCACATGCGCGCCACCAGCCACTTTTAGCGCCTGCTAGGCAACCGCTTACCTTCATGAAAGTCCCGGAGAGCGGCAAATCAGCCATTGGCGCGAACAGAGACCACGGCTCCAAGCCATCGTTGGGACATTATGCGACTCGTTAGAACTTCTTGGAAGACCCGACAATCAGGTACCTTTCGTACCTGGCTCCTGTTGTAGCCTTCACCGATGCATCATCGACCCCGGACCCCGGAAAATACAGAACTGGGTTTCGTAACGACTAGACTCTTTCGCGAAGGAAGCCGACACACGTCGAATTCCAGCAGCCATGATATTATTCTCGCTAGGTAGTTGAAGAGTCGAAGCTGGTTCAAAGCAGATAGACTATACGGCACGACACGTTTTCACCATACTAAGGATTGCGTGACTCGCCTTCGCTTTGTGGCTTGGTAGAGGTTACTTAGCTATTGGTAGTGGATCGTTCGATGCAGCCCACATCCCGAATCCGACAACCGTGTTAGTGCTGGTGAAATGTCCAAGACGGACGGTTCTCAATTGGCGCATACGCGGTCATATCCCACCGAAGGACGACAGGTTGAAACAGCTACACTTAGCCGTTCGAGTTGCCTTAACGGAACGGCAGACTTTTCCGCGCATAGTGTCTCCCACATCCGCTCAATCTGTCTCCATCTCCGATCGCGGAGGATGCCTTATGTGGCTTACCACGAACTCCATACGGGATCCTTACGGGCACCTGCATGACGCGAGCACACCTGCTACGCTCCACCCCCCTGCACTAGGTGTAACCTCCGCATATTGTTGCTTGGGCATGGCAAATATATCTGGAGATCCATCTCCGTTGTTGCCTGTGGATTAGTGGTCCAGTGTTGCTATACCATCTCAGTTTTTTTCGCTTTTGGTTTCTGGAAACATCATGGGCTTCATCGAAAGGAACAAGGCTGCTCTCAACGATGTGGTTTCTGCTTCCTTTGTGGGCAGGTACTTCCATCTTGACGGGTCAGGACATGTACGTCGTCCCTAAGACTTTGAATGCAAGACATAACACTGACTATCGAAGCCCAACGAGATCAAAAATGCGAGGTTCACCACTGAGCTACGCGCTGGCCTGACAACCTTCTTCACTATGGCATACATCATTGCTGTCAACGTGAGTAAACCCAGATACATGCCAAATTATAAGCATATGGTACAGCCGTACTAACGATACTACCACTTACAGGCCTCCGTCCTCACAGACTCTGGTGCTACATGTGTTTGCAATGACCCTGTCGACCCAACCTGTCTCAACGACGAAGCCTACTCTCTCTGTTTGCTCGAGATCAACCGTGATTTCGTGACTGCTACTGCTGCGATTGCGGCGCTCGGCTCGTTCCTTATGGGCATTCTTGCGAACCTCCCTGTCGCACTCGCACCAGCCATGGGCCTGAATGCGTACCTGGCATATCAAATTGTAGGGTTCCACGGCACCGGTCCAATCGACTACCGCGTCGCAATGACTGCTGTGTTCGTTGAAGGCTTCATCTTCGTCGCTCTCTCCCTCGCTGGCATCCGTCAATGGCTGGCTCGAATCATTCCTGCCAGTATCAAAGTCGCGTGTGGTGCAGGTATTGGCCTCTTCCTCACTTTGATCGGACTTTCATACTCGGCTGGTATTGGTGCTATCACGGGAGCCAAGGCAACACCCCTTGATCTTGGAGGTTGCTCTCCTGAGTACCTCGACCCGGACACTGGCTCCTGTCTCTCGCATAAAGCAACCAACCCAAGTAAGCGCTCCTGTACGAACTACACGTGAGGCACATACTGACTTCGTACACCCAAATTCAGCCATGTGGCTCGGCTTTCTTGTGGGCGGTGTCTTTACAGCTCTGCTCATGACTTATAAGATTCGTGGCTCAATGATCTTTGGTATTGCGCTAGTATCCATCTTTTGTTGGCCCCGGGATACTTCAATCACCTACTTCCCACGCACGACAGTTGGCGACAGCCGCTTCGAGTTCTTCAAGAACGTTGTCGCTTTCCATCCGATCAAGCATACGCTATTGGCACAAGACTGGGATTTGTCTAACGTGGGCGGGCAATTCGCTCTGGCTGTCTTCACCATGCTTTACGTTGATATTCTGGATGCCACCGGCACGTTGTACTCCATGGCTCGTTTCTCAGGCGTTGTCGACCCTGACACGGGTGACTTCCCTAGGAGTACAATTGCTTACTCGGCTGATGCTATCGCCATCTCCATCGGCTCCCTGTTTGGATCATCGCCTGTTACCGCTTTCGTTGAGTCTGGTGTAAGTGCTGTATCTTGACATATTCTGTGCCACCATACTGACTTTTACAGGCTGGTATCCAGGAAGGCGGTCGCACAGGTCTGACCGCGATCACCACCGGTATCTGCTTCTTCATCTCGCTCTTCTTCGCGCCCATTTTCGCTTCCATTCCACCCTGGGCGACAGGAGGAGCTCTCATCTTAGTCGGATGCATGATGATGCGTGGTGTTCTAGCCATCAACTGGAATTATCCTGGTGATTCCATCCCAGCCTTCGTCACGCTGATGTTCATGCCCTTTTCATACTCGATCGCATATGGACTTATCGCTGGAATTATGTGCTTCGCCATCATAAACACCTTCACGTGGGCTCTCGGTGCCATCTCAGGGGGACGCCTGCTTCCGCCAGACTACGACAACAAGGAGTACTGGAGCTGTAAGTCTATCCACATGCCGCTGTCTTCCGCATATCATGCTAACGAGGGTTTACTCTAGTCCGTTCAGACTCGCCACGCGCCCAACCTTGGTTCATCCGTGCAATGAAGGGCGACAAAAAGTTCTGGAGGCCACAGGATACCGACTCGTTTGAGCTGGAATCTACAGAAGCACACATCGAAGCCCAGACTAAGGCTTAGATATATGTTGTCATTGTTATCCACTTGATAGACCGTCACCGTCCTGTTTTTTTGATTTTACGATACCAACGCTTAATTTGGGTTGTGGCTGTCGATTCACATCCTCACTAGACCATATAGATGGAGTCATTGATACATATTATCAAGTAATGATCGAAGCCATCACATTCATTTCTGAGCCATTACATCTACTCATAGAACACCAAGCATCTGACTTCTATACTCTGCCGTCCTGGTGCATCCGCGGGCGTGTTCGGATCCGCAAAAGCAGTGTGCGGCGTTCTTACAGCCACGCCCTTCTTCCCTAGGGCCATACCTTCTCCAAAGCTATCGTAACACTTGAGCAACAGAACTTCCTCGGGCGTCATGTCCTTTTGATAATAGAACTTGTGATTGTCATTAGGTGCCACAGACATGGTCTCACCCTTGACCTCATAGCCGTCGGTGGACGTGTAATTGTTGGGATCTGGAAGAACCTCTTTACCTCGGTCGTCGACGTCCATGGAGTCAGCGCGCTTGGGGTAAAGAAGGTTTGTAGCAACAAAGTCGGATGATGATGTTGTTCTCCAGTCAATTACTGCGAGAGGATGGTCTGAAGCAGGGTTCTCGATGGGTCTCCATACGTTGATCAATTGCCAGCGGCCCTTGATTAATCGCTCGGCTTCTTCTGGAGAAAGATGACGACGAACACGTGCTTCTGCTGCAGCTTCCGTCTGATCTACATGGACTTGTTGGACAGGCTGTCGAGGAGAATTCTTGTCTCGTCTTCGTATTGTGTGGTCGAAGATGACGACTTTCTTCACGCCAGGAAGCTTGTCACGCAGTAAAGCTTCGACTTCAGCGTAATAGCCCTCTCGTACTGCCGCATCCTCGGTGAATAGCTTTTCCTTTGCGGGGTACTGATATACTGCGAAGCCTGAGTTATCGGTGTTGAATTCATGTTCGCGGCCGCGAAGGTTGTGGACGGATCGTTCGTGCCACTTGTGCGAGAAGCTGGTGCCGGGTCCGTCAACCTTGGCCCATGGTTTCCCAGAATAAGAGTCGGTATCAATGTGGGAGAAGCTTGCCGTGGTCATGCTGATTGATTGGGCTTCAGAGTGGAATAAGCGATTGCGCGCGTAGTTTCCTAGATGGACGTTGCGGGTTCGTGTCGTTCTGATACAGGGTGCAAATCTCCTAGCAATGCTCATAGGGATGGTTCAGCTGTGATACAAACGGAAAGGTAGAAACAATTGAATTAATGGGGTTTATGTATGGTCCTCTGCTTAGAAATAAGGCATGACGCCATGTTGAAGTTTGGCGGATGTGCTCAGAATGTGACCAATCAAAGTGGACTTAGTTGCTGGAGGTAAAATCGTGGTGAGAGTCGCGTGCTTTTGTGGCGAACATGGTGCTACGTAATAGCCTACATGCAGACGAAGCGGACTTTGCTTATACCCGATTGGCTGTGCGGAGGTTGCCTTGGGACATGCGTGCCGTCACTCTCTGATGCCTTCCGTCTCATCTCGAAATCATGCCACGATATGCTGTCAGCGACGATGACGAGCCACTTGAAGACAAGACGGCAGCCCTCACCCTTAGAAACAAGAAGCCGGAGCGCATGAAGCGCAAGAATGCTACGAGACAGCAGAAACGCGATGCCATTGTGAACATTACCAAGCTGCCTACCGAGCTCATTCTCGAGAGCCTCAAATATCTCCGCCCCTGCGACGTAATCGATTTCAGCTTAGTCAACCGCCGCTTCCAGAGCCTTGTCAAAGCCAACGCGAACATCATCGGCGACGCCATCATCGCACGGCGCTACAGCATACTCATCAAATGCCTCCCTACGCCCAGGCTCCTCGCCGACGTCGACCCTGCAATACAACCCCTCCTTGTCGACCCCGCGCGTCAGAAGCAGCTTAATATACACAATCGCCCGTACCAGCACATTCAATCGCCAGATGCACACCAGCTGTGCACCTGTCTCACCTGCATCTTGACATGGAATAATCTAGGGCTAGTCCTGGACTTTGCGCACTGGCAGGACTATCTCGATTCTGGAACCCCACTCCCCATCATACCGCGTGGGCAGACACCAGAGTGGAACAAGGAGCTGGTAGCGCGCCACGGACGTATCGCTCGCAAAGCCATCGAGAATTCGCTATGGCACGCCGTCATCTTGCAACGGCACCTTGATTCCACCGTTCGCGCCATACGGCGGCACTCGAAGAACAGAGGGAACAAACGAGTCCATGTTGACATGACAGCTGCTGAGGCTGCTGAAGAGACAGATGCTTTTTTGGCCAAACACGGACCGCCGAGTTTGGAGTTTCCATATCAGCGGGATGAATACTACATGCTTGAAGCCTATCTACCAAACCGGTGGTGGAAGAAACAAGATGCATATTGGTTCTACACGATCGGTGGGCAACACGAACGCGATCTAGAACTCGTCCAACGTTTCGCGAAGCGCTAGTCGCTGTCACAAGTCTCGGTGCGAAGAGATGAGTATTCATACGTAAAAGCAGTTCGCTGAAGCGCAAGACGAGGAATGCAAGAGATTCAAACATGACGCCAGACCCAACCATAAGCCCAATGCAATGTGATCTAGCAACTCTGTAACAAGAGGAGCGCTCATAAACAAGAATGACTCAATGTCAACGCCTCCCCCCCCCCCGACCGTGCCTCTTTAATTCAGGCGCTCCGGCCCGCCACTAAAGCTATACCCACTCCCAGCGTGACTGACGTGGCTGGGTTGTCGTTCCATACCCATGCCACCCAGAGGCCCCGCGCTGGCCTCTCTCCTATACTCTTCATAACCGCCTGGACTTAATGCATCCACGCCAGCAGCTATGCTGCCGCTATCCCTGTATTCCGCATATGGAGGAACAGTGGTTCTGCCACCACCGCCATAAGTTCCATTCCTGTCCTCACCCCAACTCAGTGGTCGGCCAGGGTGTCTACCTTCATCTGTTTCTGTGCTGTGTAGCAGCGCATATTCGTCTTCTTCTTGGTTGCCACCACGATCTGTGCGGCGATCAAGGGAATCAGATGAGTCGCGACCGTTTGCGGTTTCGATTTCGGTGGACCAGGTTGTGTCTTTGGGATTGTTGTAGGCGGAGTCGCCGGAAGCGTAGTGTGTGTTCTCCTTGGAGGATTGGTACGGCATGACGCCTTCGCGGAGATACTTGTGGAGGTAGTAGCCGGATACGCCCGTTGTGATGGCGAAGAAAAGGCTACGGAGGGTTAGTAGGTGTTGCGACATGATTCACATGTAGAAAATGAAAAGTACTTACAACACCATGACACCTACACCTACAGCAGCCTTGCTGACTTTGCACTTGGCCTCGTCTCCATAGAGGAATGTTGTGCAATTCCGGTCGTCATCCGAAATCTTCTCCTTCTTGGCTCCCTCCTTGATACCGTGGGCGTTCCACATAGCCACCGCAATGAAGGCCGCGAACCAAAGGATGGTGTATAAAGCGTCGACAGCGAGGAAAGCGTATGCGGAGGCGAAGCGTTGGGCGCGCGACCACATGGGTACCATTGTGAGGTAGATGATGGCGGGTATGGATAGGAAGCACTATAGCCAGTCTTCTGTTAGCCTTCTCCATGCTGTCGCGATAGACCGGTCTTCAAGACGACGTCGCACACAAAGCGCACAGGAAAGGATGTCACTTACCATAGCAAAGAAATACCTAGTAGCCCCTCCAATATCTCCGTCCTTGGTCATAACGGCGATGGTCAGACATGCTGCTATAAAGACGAAGATGGCCTGGAAAACATGTGCCACCACCTTGCACTTCTGAATATATGACTGCGGTATCCGCATATCGTACGTCTTTGTGTGTATCCAGATCCTCAAAGTCCTGGTATGTGTGGAAGGGGGCGGAAAGCCGGGAAGGGTGAGCGTAAACAGACAGCTCACTCAGCCCTACGAGTACGTCAATACGGGTGGCTTCGGTGCTTCCGAGTCTGCTCTCTGCGATATGCAAATGCCCGCCAACAACAAACAATATCAAAAGCGTGGTCGCGTCGTGTGCGCAAGGAGACGTAGAAACTGTCAAAGAATGTCGTAGACTCGTACGGCAACGAGGGAAGGATGGAGTGCTATGTCAGACACCTTTCGAGTCTCAGCCTCACTGCTTGGTGGATCCCGAAGCTGCAAACCACCCAGTCGCGTCCCCGCCGCGCAGCCCGCTCTTCGCTTCTGCAGGGTTTGTACCTAACCCGGCAACCAGAGTGTAGCGTCGCTGGTGGTTATTAATAGAGGGTCGAGAACGGGTAGCGAGCAACTTAGACGGAAAAGAGGCTAGAGAAGGGCGTTCCTGGCTACGCTTTGGCGCGCTCGTTGCTGGGTGATGGCGATGACGTTGGCTCCGACCGGCCTGATTGTGCGCGCACTGGCACACCCGAACGAACTTATAGTATCGCTTTCATGTCCAAGTTTCCAGCATGTCACCTGGATGCCTTTGGGTTTTGCGAGGCGGTCGGTTGCCGATTATGCCTTGCTTAGACCATGTGACTTCGTGTTCATTCAGCTCTACAGCCTACAGCCATCGCACAGCCATCGCACTATAGCTCGAAAATTGCGCCAAGACAGGTTTGTTCACCGGTGTCATTTTGGAGAATAAACTCACTCCTACTTCATCTGCGCACCACTCATACTCTCTCTCTCTCTCTCTCTCTCTCTCTCTCAACTGTCCGCGGTGAGCCAGCATGCTTCATCGCCACAGATTCCTCAGTGTACATTAACAGCGACACGAATCTCATACCCAGTTGGCATGCTCTTCAATCCAGTTGTCCTTCTCCAGACCGCCGTCAAGTAGGTACGCTTGAGCAGTCGCGTTACCTCTCCACTGCCATTCCAAGTATGCCACAGCTGCTTTACCCTGTTTGCCACCATTGATAGCGGCGAAAGTCCCGTCATGACCAGTATCGAGGTTGGCCCTGAGTTTGGGAAGCCCCGCGTTCAGAAGCGCATAATCTTTAGCCGACTATCGTATTTTCAGTATTAGTACTGGACTACATCAAGACCAAAACATGAGAAAGAAAGACTCACAGTGTTATAACCCATATCCTTAGGCCCTCCAATGAGATACACGATTGGCACCTTGATCTCCTTGAGTAGGTACCTCCTGTCATCCTGGAATATCGCAATGTTGAATAGCATGATTCTCTTCACCCTCTCATCACGGTACGCCGTCGACATGGCTTCCAGGCCCCCACAGCTGTGACCTGCAGTCGTGACTTTGGTCAAATCGACGTTTCCGTATTTCGTCGCTTTGCCTGCAAACGCCCAGTTTAGGGAGTCCCGCATGTCCTGTACTTTGGACTGTTGACCAGATTGGAAACCAGAGCCCGTGGGCGTGCCGTCTGCGGCGATAATGTATCCGTAGCTAGCAATTTCTACTAACAAGCGCTCGTAGATACCTGCGTTGAGGCCGCATCCTCCATTGCCCCATGCAATGAAAGGCAGACTGAGATTTCCGGCTGGAAGAGTCTTGGGCGCGAAGATTGTGTGTCCCGGTAGCGAAGAGTCGGTCAACATCTGTGCAGGATAGGGTCCTGAGCCAGATGTCTTCGCACCATTGCCTTTGGGAGCCTCAGGTCCGGTTCCACCCGCGCCAGCATACTTAGGTAGCTCAGCGAGGGAGATACTGAAGATGCCACCCGCGAAGTCACCATCACCCTTGGCTGGGAAGTTGCCAGGTGCCGGCGTAAAAGTCTGTGCAAGAGCGTTACCGAAAAAGCTGGGCGCGATGCCAAGTAACGATAGAAGGGCAGAATTAAGCATGTCGATGGCGAGCTTTCGAGGTCAGTGGATATTCAGAACCTTATGTTAGCAACTGCTCTCTCAATGTGCATGTCTTATATAGTCGACCGCACCATTGTCGATCTGCCCTATCCATCATACACGAACAAGGATAAAAGTGCCAAGACGATCAATGTAGATTAATAGTGGATTGCGAACAGACGAATTGAGGAGAAAATCTGGGGAAATCGAATGCATGCTGGTGGGGACCAAGAGCTTCGGGTGATGATTCGGTAGATAACTAGGCCTCGAGTAGGGCCGCGGCAAACAGCTCGTTAGTTTGTCAATATAGCCGTCAAAAACATCAACTTCCACAAAAGGCCGACAGCGATCGTACTTCCTTGTGACGGAGTTCAGGCACAAATCGGGTTGGCCATGAAATATTGACGTAGTAAAAAAACACATGCATCTCGTGATGAACATCGCATATATACTTACACGCTTGGGAAGACTTTGAGCCGTCCATAATACTGGCATCGTCTCTTATACCGTCACGTTACATACTGAATGTGAAACGTGGGCTGATTATACCAATCAGTGGTGCTCGTTGCACATCGCCAGCCAGATCTGAACTTGATTGTGGTAGTGTAGTATCCAGATGTGGACAATACATAATTGATTTCTGGGTCGGATTATAGTTGACCCTAGAGGTCGGTTTTTATCCTTCCACTACAGAACTCAAGTCGTTCCCCTGGTACGGACATCTTTTGGCTATATCCGCATGTATGCTTTATAATGGTCCATCAACGACTGGCTCCTCAAGGACACAGCGGAACATTGAAAGATGTCGCACCAGCATGGATACAGTGAACGGCACCCAAATTGCTGAACACTTTTCTGTAAGCGAAAAAGGAAGCAGAGAGATCTTTGGGATTACTCCATCTCAGTGCTTTGGTGGAAGCAGAAATACGACTTGATCTTACTAGTCCAATGCTGGAGACAACATATTGCCTTGACAGACTTCTGGAACTGACTTGAACTGGCGGCGAGGACAATGCATGTTGCACAAAGAGTAAGCGAATGGCTGTGTGTGCATGTTTGTGCTATTATTGAACTCATAGTATTTCCTGCGAGTGCTTGCAGCCTATACTGTATTCAGTGTAGTCAGTATACGACATTTCAGTCGATCGATATCACATGCTTTCCACTTTGTGTGGTACTCGCGCGATTATCACGGAGATTAATTGAAGAACTGAGGTCATGTCACTCAACGTAGCTTCGGCTGTTGATGACATTAGCCTCAAGCACGGAATCAAGCATAATCCGACTCCTACTTGGGCCTCCACCCATTTTACGGGCGTATGCTTCAGCAAATGAGATGGCCTGAACGCATTTCCAGAAGATATTTGGCGTTCTTGTTAAAGTGGGCCCTTGTCGTACATCAGGACATAGCGTGGAAATATGAGTAATCAGATCGGCGCTGTATACTCATACCTACCGGGAAAGTGAACGCCAACGAGCGAATTTTGCTGCCATGACAATGCAATCAGTAGTTCGCATACATAACCTGTATGCGCAAAATTGGGCCTTGAAACACTCAAATTTCTTGTGGAATCGCGACCAAGGTATCAAGATCCAGAAGCAAAAGAGTCAGTGCGGGATATGCAAAGTAATGTATCCATTCACATGGCAGATTGTGTATGCGCTCAGATAGTCTACAGTTCCATGAACGGAGCAGAGTGGAACTTTGGTCTCATCTGGCATCAATGTCATCGTGCGTAATCGTCTGCATGTCTTGCTTGACATCGGCATCCGGACCTAATGGCCCTTGCTGCAGCGTCTCACCTATGGTTATCAACGATGTTAAAACCTCCCTCTCCAAAGATCCGGCAGGTGTTGTATAGACCAAGTAAAAAAGCTCGGCTTGCACGATGACTGGTAGTATTTCTCTTGGCAAGTGTATAGAGGGCGCAACCATTAGCAATAGGCGCGTCCTTCAGCCTGATGCCGTATGAATAGTATCCTCAGATGGACTGCATTCATACCCTCCCTCGCTTCCATATCGACGTACCCCACCTCCTACGTGGTGATTCGTTGATCGCATCTTCTGACGTGAGTACAGGCGACGCCGGAAAGCCAACAAGTGCACAGAATCACACAAGCGGATGAGAGTGCGACCACTTCTTCTGACGATATTTTTGGTGCATGAAGATAGTATGCCTCTTGTGAACGACCTCATAAATGGCAGATCGCATACTTCGCTCGTTGGGTCCTTCAGGAAATGGGATTACCGATCGTTGTACGGACGGAGCACCAAGCATGCGACTCTCGAAGCCTCTTAGTAAATTATCATCAGATAGTGATGACTGAACGTCCGAGTTGCCGTGTTTCCATCTCTTGCAGAACCGCAAATCAGCTCATCCGTCCGGGCTGTGGTATTTATTGGGACTAGGAGAGGGCGCCAATCATTTTGGCCACGTCACCAACGGTCTCGTCCGCCAATAGTATCAATATGGGAGGACGGCAACAGAGTCATTGCAGGACGCCGTACGGCTGTGTGCTTTGCGACACGAATTAGAGCAGCAAAACGGATCGGGCTTGAAAAAGGTGAACGGATACCGTGCGACGAAGTGAAACTAAACCTTCGTCTAAGCGAGCCTCGGCTGATCGGCGGGGATGCATGGCACGAGCTCACCTTCACGTCCCTCGTCGACCGCGTCTGCAATGGAATCCATCTCGCCATTTGACAGGAACTATCGACCACCTACAACACCATGACCACATGGCTCTTAGTAGCGATGACTGCAACCCGACAATTTACTTGGCGGGTTTTCTAATCCGCGGAAGCCGACGCTCACGCGTAGGTAGTTCCTACTAATCAGACGTTACCCTTGTCCGCATTCTGCTGTTTTGTAATCACAATACGCCGGCGGTAAAGGGCTCAGGTCTTTAAGACAACGTCATGGGCTGCCCATCTGCAGACAGGATATGTTCGGAATTAGTTTGCGTAGCATCAGTGACAAGTTATAAAGCCACCGGCTATGGCGGTTACAAAGGTTCGACTAGGCTTTTCCTTCCTGTCCTCTTTTACCGCGCATGCTTACTGACATTCTTTTGCAAAGCCATTACCTCGCGACCCTGTTGACGTCAACAGCCAATGGAACCACATGCCTTCGCAGTTCCGAGATAGGATTCCATCCGCGCGCTTTCCTGCCGAAAAGGGCCGATACGTACTCTACCTCAACTACATTTGTCCCTGGGCACATCGAGCGGCCATTGTTTTCGCATTGAAGGGGCTGGGAGATGTCTTAGACCTGGTAGAGGTCGATGGAAGGGATGCAGCGCATGGATGGTTTTTCTCTGGGCGTAGCGGGCCAGAGAGAGACCCCGTGTATGGTGCGAAGTGGTTGAAAGAGATCTATCTGAGGGCGGACCCAAAATACAATGGCAGAATCACGGTCCCTTTGCTTTGGGATACATTTAATGGTGAAAACACCCGAGAGTTAGCGTAATGGCCTACAGACTGACAGCGCTCAGGTACCGCTGTCAACAACGAAGCCGCCGAGATCATTCATATGCTGTTCGATGCCTTCGATCCTCTTCTACCCCCGGAACGTCGCGAGATCAACAAAGGAGTGGCGGGCTTCAGACCTGCGCACATCCTGACGGAGATGGATTCGCTGCTTTCATGGGGACATGACACAGTGAACAACGGTGTGTATAAAGTTGGTTTTGCAACCTCACAGGCGTCCTATGACGAACATGTCAGCAAGCTTTTCAAGTCCCTTGATCGCCTTGAAGACCACCTCTCGCAGCCTAAGCATTACCCTTACCTTTTTGGACAATACATCACCGAGGCCGACATTCGACTATACACAACAATCATTCGCTTTGACGTTGCATACTACACTCTTTTCAAATGCAACAAGAAGATGATACGCCTAGACTATCCGCGTCTCCATGCTTGGTTGAGGCGTCTTTACTGGAGCGATGGGCCTGAAACGGGTGGCGCCTTCCGGGCTACAACCCATTTCGACTTGGTATGAAAAGAACCCCAAATAACGACATAACAGTGCTGACTTTACCAGATCAAGGAAGGATACTCAGCTGTGACTGTTGGTAACGGCGTAGTACCGGCAGGTCCGGAGCCTCCGATCATGCCATTGTCATGACCAGTCTTTTCGTGATAGCAACGCTTTTGCTATCCCCGTATTTTATCTGATTCAGACGATCATCTGACTACATTCACATATCTCAGACTTTGCTTTACAGGAGCCACCGATGCTTCATTTTTCTGGAGAAGTTCTGGCGTCTACATACCCAATCTGCTGTAGTATCTAAATCGTTTTCAATCACTGTTTGCCTATTCATTAGAAGATTTTCATGCCGTCTGGTCCTTGGCCACTTTGAGAGCATCTTGCGCTGCAAGGCAGCTGTTCAACGTTTAGATGAATCTTGCGATATTGGTGCATGGGTGTAGGGCGAATGCTCCACTTTGACAAACGTTCAGGCAGCAGTCCCTCTTTCAAACTTTGTATCTCGAGCACTCCCTCCATCTTGGGGATGATCAGCTTGTTTCTGCTATCAAAGCTTTACATCAGTGCGTTGTTTCGCGATGGAGTATCGACATCATAGTCTCGAACGAAGGTGGATGACCACTACAACTTATCATTCTGACCACTCCACGTTAGCCGACTACTACTCTTCAGATTACAGATGAGCCGCAGAATGGCTTCCACGGCAGGTCAATCCTTTTGTTTCCCTGAGTTTCTAGTGAAGCCCTTCGTTGTAGGTATCTTTGGATGTACGAGGTACGCGTCTAACAACTCCTCACTTTGTCAGTTCACCTTCGTAGTCTACAAGTAAGTGCCACGTAAGTTTACATCTGACTCCAAAGTTCTGAACACGCTCTGAGTGGCTCTGACCAGCTCATTAGACGCAACCAAGCATGATATCTGGCACGATTTATCATTTTATAACCAACCACAAGGCGCCTCTTTTACCATAGTAGTTCAGTGTGTGCCATCCGCCATCTTCTGCAC